CCCCCCCCCCCCCACCCCCCAAATCCCTGCTGTGGGTGAAGCAGACAGGCTCTTCCCTGGCCATTGCAATGTGCTTTAGAGGTAATGATGTGGCATTTGTTTTATTGCTTTGGTTTTATTTGTGTTTTTCCCTTCCTAGGCTGTGATGAAGGTTCCCACCAGCTTTCAGCTGCCCTCTGGTGCCTCCTAAAGTTAAACCCAGAGAATGGAACAGAGTGATCAGATCTGCTCAAAAAAAATGAGGTTTTATTTTGCAGGGAGCTGGGTATCCCTGAGGAGGGCAATGGGATGAGAGCATCCTGCTGCTGGGCTTGTCATGGGACCATTCCCTCCTGTGCCGTGTCCAGCACCACAGCTGTGGCTGCAGGGGCTGCTCCACCAGGGTGCTGGTGCTTCCCCATTTAGAGCCTGCTGGGAGGCTCAGCTTTCCTTTTACCGGGGAAAAATCACTAATGTGACTTTTCCAACTGTTTGGAAGCTATAGATGTGAATAAAATGTGATGGGGTGCTGCAGAGTTGAGGGCAACTTCTCCAGCCCTTCATGCTGAGGTCAGGAGAGTGGGGGGGACCTTTGCTTGGGGCACGCACCACTCCTGCAGCCTCCCTGCACATCACTATTGGCATTTTACATCTCCCTGTCTGGTTTGGCTGTGGTTTAACCCCCCCTGTTTCCTTGAATCAGAAACCCTGATCTCCTCTGTAAGTACCAAATAAGTTTATGCAACTGTTAAGGTTGTGATTGTGTCACACACCAGCAAACTCCTGATCTCAGGATCCTGTATGATAAGGACTGAGCTTCCATTTTGTACACATCTCGGAGCAGATTCCTGGTGCAGGTGGATGCTGCCAGCACAGAAAAGACGGAGTGAATTTGTTTTCTCCTCCAGCAGAGGATGAAAACATTTAGCAGGTTCTCAGACACTGATAGGATTAAGTCTTGCTCCTGCCAAAGCATCTTTCCCTTGGATACACACAACTTGGCTGGGGTAGATGCTGCAGGATTAAGTCTTTGGTATCACAGGTTGGTGAATAGTGGTTAAATCTCTGCTGCAAGGGTAAAGTGACATGGCTTGGAGCAACCTGCTCTAGTGGAAGGTGTCCGTGCCTGTGGCAGGGGGTTGGAGCTGGATGAGCCTTTAGATCTCTTCCAACCTAAGCCATTCTGTGATCATTCTATGACTGTTCATCAGGCTGCCTGTCCACGCTTATAGAGTTTATGGCAGGGAGAAGGGATAGCATTAGCCTTGGGGAGTCTGGAGCTGGAGAGAGGAGATTTGCAGTGCACCAGTGCTCCACTGAAAGAACTCCTCTTTGGTTTGGGTTATAGCAATCACTCCAGTAGGCAGGGTGATAGTGGGTATGTGTAAGTGTGGTGAGTAGTGAGGCTCTGGGAGTGAGAATTCCTGTCCCACAGTGATGCAATTCCCTGGGGACACCAACCAGTGTGTATGTGCAGGGGAAAGGAGTCCCTGCCTCGTGTGTGAACCTTGGGGATGTGTTAGGAGAAGCCTTCTCCCTGTCTGCAAAGGTTTTGATGGTGGAATGTGGATGGTGGGATGCTGCTGGCTCCTGGGTTATGAGTGGTGAATATCCCAAAGCAGCACCCTGGGCAGGGTGGATGTGGTTGTACAGGGCCATGCTTTTAAACTGGTAGCCTCTTGTCCACTCCTTCTTGGCTTTGATACCTTCCAGTTGGATAAACGGGACCCAAGGAGAGAAAGAGGGGTTTAGTACTGGAATTTCCCCTGGCATGTAGGGTTTTGTGTGTGTCCCCTCTGGACAGGTTGCCCAAGGAAGTAGTGAATGCTCCAACCCTGGAGGTGTTCAATGCTAGGCTGGACAGAGCCTTGGGTGACATAGTTTAGTGTGTGGTGTCCCTGCTCATGGCAGGGGGGTTGGAACTAGATGATCTTAAGGTCGTTTCCAACCCAAACCCTTCTATGATTCCATGATTTACTGTTTGAAGCAATTGAAAACTGAAGATGTCACCTCCATCTCCCCCAGGCCTTTTCCATTTCTTCCATTTCCCCCTTACTTGGAACCCCCCTGTATATGCAAAAAGCCAGAAGAAGTTTTAATTATTTGGGTAATTCTTTTTGGGGATTCACCAAAAAACCTGTGTGAGCCTGGAGGGGGCCCTTGAATGATACATGTTGGGGAAGTCATAGAGTTAGAGCATGTACAGAAGCTGCTGTTTCCCCCTGGGTCTCCCCATCAGCATGTCCCGGGAGCTCAGTACTAAGCTGAGACTAACACTGGGTTCTACCCAGGGAAATGACCCTTCTTGGTTCCGTAACTGCAGCTTCTGGTTATCTCTGGCCAGGATTTTGCTCTCTTTGCCCTTACTTTTGAGATCAGGAGCAGGTGTGGTGAGAAACTGGACTCTTACCTGTGGCCATGTACAAGAGGATGATGATGACTTCCCAAGCACAGGTTTTCCTCCCCAGACTGGAGCATTGGTGCTCCTGGGTTTCATGCCTTAAAAGCATCTTTTATTTCAATAGGTTAAAAGCTGGTTGCTGGTAAGTCAAGGTGGGGTTTGGGGGTCTCTTAATGGTGTATCTCTTCCATTAGTGGAGGAAAGACTGGCAAACCCTCTGTGCTGCATCCCTGTCATCTGTAGATTGGGTGTTCCCTACAAAACCTGGTTTTCTTTTTTCCTTTCCATGCTTGTATTTCAGCAGGGACAACCTGACTGCACATCCTGTAGGAAAATGGTGTTTTGTCTTCCAGAAAAAGAATGCTTCAGTACCATAAAGAGTAATTGCTTCCTGTTATTGCGGGACTTGGGAAATAAAGGCTAACATCAGCACTCGAAAAAACAGGAGGCATGAGGAAGGTTTGGGTTTTGTTGTCCTCAATGATTCTTTTGCAGCACCAAGGGGAAAAGTTTAATATCTCCCTATATTTTGCACAAGGCAAATTCCAAGTCCCTCCTTGGTGTTCCCCTCTGCTGCAGAACCCAGCCTTCATCCCCCTTCTATCTGGAGTGATTTAACATTGGAATGATTAATCTATAGAGACAGTCACCCTGTGACTGTCAGTCCCCTCCTAGTGCTGAGCAGCACTAATTGGAGAAGACCAAGAAGGGCTCTCACCAAGAACATGATTTCCTGGACAGTAAAGGGCCTATTGTGGAAACCTGCCTTGTTTTTGGCTTTGTTCTGCTTGCTCCTTGTAGAGTTTTTGCCAGTGGAGATCGTGTCTCTCCTCCCTCCTTCTCCTTCTGCTCTTTGCTCTCTTCCACGTAGATTTCCTGTGCTGCTTTTTAATGAATGTGAAACAAGGGGTTGAGCAGCTTGAGGCAGAGAGGGTTTGGGGGGAATGCAGACTGCTGTGGTCCCTCTTGGCTGTTGACTGAGTCCTGCAAGGCTGCTCGCCCAAGAGCTTTGATTTTAGGAAGAAAAGCAAAGGGGAAGAGGGATGTGTTGTTCTTACACTGGCTGGCCCATGGGGATGGAGGTGATGCTGACCCTGGTGTTGCTTCAGCGGATGTGAGAGACCCCCAAGCCTCCACCAGTGTGCCAGGGAAGGGATCAGGAATAACATGCAGCTTCTGGTCCAGGAAGTCCTCTGTTATCCCTAGCTCCATCATGCTGCTGTGATGTTCAGTAGTGATTATCCGGAGGACTTCCTCAGTGTTGGCTCTGTTCACCTGGATCAGCCCCTGTGGGAACGATGCCTCATTTCTTTGCCACGGAAGCAATCTGTTGGGAGCCCAGCAGAGTACTGAGGCTGCTCAGCTCTCCCTAGTGAAGAACTCTGTTTCTGAGCATTTTAAGCAGCTGTTTAGGCAGATTAGGGCTGTCAGGCCCCTACATTTCCATTTGCTGCTTCCAGGTGAAGCCTTAGGAGGAGATACGCGATGTGATGGGGAGGTGCCTGCACCAGGCGGCTGCCTGGGGGTGGCTGTGCCAGCTGTTATTCTGCTTACAAACTGCATCAGCCCCTGAGAATAGGGGTGAGGGCAGCTGGCTGTGAGGAGATGAGGAAAATGAAGTTAATTAGGACATTGCAGAGATGCTGATTTCCTAATAGACAGCTTTCTACGGGAAGAGCCTCGACCAGCTGTGTGTCTCAGAGCTGAAATCGAGTGAGTGTTTAATGCAGCATGGACCCAGCGGGTGCTGGTGGGGCCATCTAAGACCTCAGTGCTCTCCAGATCTGCTGCTTCTAGTTTCTCCTGGAGAAAAAAGTCTCAGAGTAGCTGTGTCTGGCTCCTGTTACCACAGATCCTATGGCTGCATTGTGTGCTTTGGTTTCCCCTGGCTTTGGTGGGATGAGTGAAGGGGTGTTACCCATGTGGACCAGTAATTCCATGGTGTTTAATATGGGACCCTGTTCCCAGTGCATTTCAGGGTCTGGGCAATTCCCAGCAGTGTTTAGGACAAGAGCAGTTCAGCACAGGCAGATCTGGCACATGAACAGGGATGAGAGCATCTTTCTGCAGGATGGGTGCTGATGAATGACCTCCTTAGACCAAAGCACCATCGTGGTGACCAGGCACCTGCTTAGGGATGTCTGAGCCCCTGGACCAGTTGCAGAGGCTTTTGCAGCAGCAACCACCCAATCTCTGCTCTCTGTACAGCAGCAACTGGGGCCACGTCATGTCCCCATCCACACCAGTCCCTAGGGAGCACCTCAAGGAGGGAGGGCAGAGCTTGTTTTTCATGGCTGCCACCTAGAGACTCAAAGGGCAAGAGATTCATCTGTCCCAAAGTGTGGGTGCTTGCCCTGGCTGGCACAGGCCCCTTAACCCCTGCTGGTCACTCACCATCCTGCCAGGTAATTAACAGGCTTTTAGGTGCTGGTGTTACCGGTCACTTGTTGTAGCATCTGGGTCAAAATCCAAAGTGATTTTACATTTGTCCTCCTCAAACTATCTTATTTTTTCATGGCCTATTGAAACATTGAGAATAAACCATCTTGATTTGGGTATTTCAGGCTGAGGGGACAGTCAGAGGGTGATGAGAGCATGATGTGGGTGTATGGCTTTGGGGACATAAATCACAGCGGGATGTGCCAGATCAAACATCAGCTTCATACAGCCTGTGGGCCAGGAGCAGGTTGGGAGCAGAGGTGGGAATAAACTGTGCTGATTTCCACTGGCAGAGTGGGAGCAACCCAGCAGAAATCCTCCCTGAGCCTTTTCTGCTCTGTTTTGCTTCTCTGTGTGTGCCCAGGGATGGTGAAAAAGACTGTCACTGAAGCCAGGGCGCGGGGATGGAGGTTGCTGCACAAGGTGAACAGCACTGTCTGCATCCTAATTAGCTGGAGTGAAGAATATCTAAATCAAGAGGCCTCGAGAGGCAGGGAGCTGCTGGGGATAACGCTCGTGGTTCAAGGCTTTGCTCTGGTGTTTGTGGCCTCCTTTTGGGTTGTACTTTGCTGGCCCTCAGCTGAGGGGCATCTGGAGGTGCTTGCTGCCCTGCAGCCTTGAGGTTGCTGGGTGGAAAGGAGGGTGTGATGCTAAACCAACAGGTTCAAGAGGGCTCAAACCCTGAGGGATCAGTGAGGGACAGAATCCATCCTTGTGAGAAACAGGATCTCAAAGCCCCATATGTGGCAGAGCTGTTTCCTTCCTACCCATCTCCTTTCCCAGGCTGCAGGTTCCCCTGGCTGATGCAGAGCTTTGTTCCAGGTAACGCTGCTTGAGGTCCATTTAGCCAAAAGGAGGGGGAAGCAGAGTCCTGAGCTGATATCCAGGCATTTTTCCTCTTAGGCTTCAGTAGCTGGGACAACAGGAGAGCAGAGCAAGGCGGTTACTTTGGTGACTAAGGTAGAGCTGGATGGAGAGCTAAGAACTGCCCTGTGGGAGATGCTCCATTAGGAAATTGCCTCTGTGACAGAGTGCAAGAAAGAGACTCAGCAGGGAGCTGATATCCTCCTCTGTCCAGAGCCTTATCCACATCGGAGCTGTGCCATGGCGGGGACCTTAGGTGCCTCCTAAAGCCTTGAAGTTTAATTTGTGTTTTCTTTGTGCAGATTAAGAAAGAGAACACTCTCGGTTGCTGGAGGAAAAGAAAAGGAGGTTAATCCACAGAGAAGTGATTAATTGATTTCTTGTTTGTACTGAACATTCTGGAAATGTTTGGGAACATTGGTTGGATGGGATATGGGCTGTTGGCTCTCAGCATGCACAGAAAGTAGAGCTAGAAGTAATTAAATAGGTGTAAATTAATCTCCCCACCTTTCAAGAGCACAAAATCAGCCTTAAAATCCACTTGAAGGTGGGTCCGTGCATGAAGGGAGAGCAGATTCTGCAGGGCCAGGTTGAGTGATTGCATCTTCTTGGTGAGAAGTGTTTTGGAGGAGAGAGACCGGTGAGGTCCCTGCAATGGAGGGAGCTGAAGGTTTGCAATCTGCACACCCCAAGCTCAGGGTTAGCTGGGATGCCCCAAACCTCTCTCTGCGCTGGGGATGCAGGAATGTGCATGGAGGCAACGTTGTCCTCCATGGATAATGGATGGATGGTAGAGGGAGGTGGGTCACTGCTTGTTTCTCCCACTGGTCAGTTAAAAAGAAACCCAAAGAACCTTTATTTTTTCATGTTTCACAGTAAAGTTGCTCATCACTGTTCAAACCCACAATTGTTATTCCCTCAAGTTATAACATCAGTCAAAGCAGTTGGGGTTAGAGGAATGTTGATGAATTACCTCCAAGTCCAGTCCTCCTGGAAAGATGGACTGGAACAAACTTGACCTTTGGGAAGCTTGAGCAAGCCCAGCTGGGTCTGAGAGATGCTGAGGAAGACAACAGCTCCCAGGAGACCTTTGTTAACAGTTTTAGGTAGCTGAATAACCTGAAGCTGAGCTGACAATACTTGGTTTTGTGGGGGCTGATAAAGAACATTGATTCCATGTCTTAATTCCCCTCCTGCTGACCCAGAAGTGTCCGAATCCATTCACAGGCCCATCTTGTGTCCCCTCTTGCTGTGTAGTTCTGCTTAGAAAGTCCCAGGCACTAAATGCCTGGCAGCTGCCTGGTTGTGTTGGGTTTGCAAAGTGCTTGTTCACACCTTCGCGATAGGAAGGACAATGGTATTTTTCCTCTGCTGCTTTGGTTATATGAATGGATTTGATCTGGGCTGGCTTTCTAAGAATCCACTGTCTGCTGGGATTTCTGGGCCACGAGGAGCCTGACTCAGGCTTATATGGGGACCACAAGTGTTTCCGTCAACGTTCATCTCCAAATGCTTCCCTTTGTCTTTCAAAGTCGGATATAGGATCGTTTGTTCTTGCATTTTGAAGCCACTTTCAAACATCTGACTTCTAATACAGGCTCTAAGAGGGGTAAAAATACTTTATGTTCGGGACTGTGGATCCCCTGGTTGTTCTTGCAAGCCTGGCTGTGTCACTGTGTGTCTCAGCAGAGTTGAGAGCATGGCAGTGATGATGCTCCTCTAAGCATTCAAATAGTCTATCAGGAGCTGAAGCTCAGATCATCAGGGGAGGGCACGGTGCTGAGTACAGTTGTGGGTTTGCTGTTCTGAATCCATCTGACAAAAAAGAGCTTTTCAGGTAAAATCAGACCCTGTAATATTCTAACACGCATCAGGCTGAAAATAGCACAGTGGTTTATGGGCTCAGGTGCTGCCCTCGAATGAACTTGTCCTCCCTTAGTAACACACATCATTGGCTGCCATTTCTGGCAGCGTTTCTGTGAAGGCCATTAGGATAGTAAATGGAAGATGAGCTGTAGTTTTAAAATGATACCTATTTGAGCTCTTCTTTTGCCCGTGAGAGGAACATCCTGGAGCTGAAATGATAGATTTGGTCACAGAGTCGCTGCTGGGTGTCCATTTCTGCAGACTCTGCATGTGTCCTTGGGTAGCTGATTGCATCTTTCTTTGCATCATTTCCCGTGTGTAAAAAGGAGATGATTTGCCATTAGAACAAGGTGAATCTTCCTTTGGGGATGTCAGAAGTAATACAGAATATTGTTCTGTGTTTTGTCCTTTTGTCATTGACCAAACCCTTTGAAGTCAACTCAACTAATGTCTTTATGTGCAAACTACTCCATTCTTTAGAAAGATCCATTGTGATATTGTATTTCTGATACAAACCTCATTCGCCCCTGGCCAACTTACCTGTTCTTATTTGGTAGCTCACATTTGCCATAGTCTTTGGCTATGAGCCCATTCAAAATGGCTAATCCACTCAACCCTGGTCTGGATGATGCCTTTCAAATCAGCTTCTGGGTAAAGCTTTCACCAATATTTGGAAAAATGAAACCATGTGTGATGAAATCCTGGATTAGCCTTACTGCAGTCATTTTCAAAGCTCATGGTCTGAGTTGACAGCCTCAGGCTTTCATGGTCTATGGAATAAGCTTCTCCTGCCTGTGAAAGTGATTGTGAAGGCACTGTTTGTGGTGTTGTAGGAGCTGGGTTGAGCTGTGTGATGATAAACATGTGGGAGGTGGAAAGGAAAGGGTGTTGAATCTCTTGTTACATAAGAAAAACACAGCATCTCCTTCCTAAAGTGGCAGAATGCCCTCTTCAGTAGGCTTCAATGCCTTACCCATCATGGTCAGGTGAAGCTCTAACCATTGCTCATTCCTACATTTCAGATTCACCAAGATGAAGACAGCAACCAACATCTACATCTTTAACCTCGCACTGGCAGATACCTTGTGTCTGATGACCTTACCCTTCCAGGGTACAGACACGTTCCTGGGCTTCTGGCCCTTTGGCAATGTCCTCTGCAAGATTGCCATCTCTATAGACTACTACAACATGTTCACGAGCACCTTCACGCTGACGATGATGAGCGTGGACCGCTACATTGCTATCTGCCACCCTATCAAAGCACTGGACATCCGCACTCCCCACAAGGCCAAAGTGGTCAATGTCTGCATCTGGGCACTGGCTTCTGTCTTTGGCATCCCAGCAATGGTGATGGGATCTGCAGAGAATGAAAACAATGGTCAGTAGAAACACATCCAACGGGTGGGAGGTGTTGGTGGCCAGGAGAACCCATGGGCTTGGGGAGGTGTTGGAGAGGGGGGTACCACTTCCATCAGTGTGGCTGTAAAGCCATCCTAACCCTTTCCTTTCTGCCCTTGCCTTTCTGCATCGCTCCTACTGCTTTTCCTGTACTAAACATGCCTAAACTGAACCTGCAGATGCTTTTCTTCTTGATGTGGCTTTGCTGACCTTCCTTTCCTTGTTGTTTTTTCCCTTGCAGAAATTGACTGTCTGATTAAGCTCCCTTCACCTGTGGATTACTGGGATCCAGTGTTTGGCATCTGTGTCTTTCTCTTCTCCTTTATGATCCCCGTGTTGATCATCACCATTTGCTACAGTCTCATGATCAGACGACTCAAGAACGTCCGTGTCCTTTCAGGCTCCAAGGAGAAGGACCGCAACCTGAGGCGCATCACCCGCATGGTCCTGGTGGTGGTGGCAGTCTTCATCATTTGCTGGACTCCCATCCAGATCTTCGTGCTGGTCCAGTGCTTGGGTGCCAAGGCAGAAAGCGAGCTCGAGCTGGCCATCTCCTGCTTCTGCACTGCGCTGGGGTACGCCAACAGCAGCCTGAACCCCGTGCTCTACGCCTTCTTAGACGAGAACTTCAAGGCATGCTTCAAGAAGTTCTGCTTCCCCACTGCCTTCAGGACGGAGCTCCAGATGTCCAACAGGATGTGCAGCATCGCCAAGGATGTGGCCTATGCCTGCAAGAACTCGGAGGGGACTAACAATCCGGCCTGACTAGGCATGGAAATTCCCATGGTGGCTGTCGCCCAGCAGAGTCCAACCACCCCCACGTCAGAGCTGACTCAGATAACAGCTCTTTAGCAGGACCTCAAAAACTGAGAGGAAACAATGCTGGGGGTTGGGAAAACCGGAATCTGCAGGAGCATGTGGAAAAAAGCCCAATTGATGCATTTTTAATTCCAGTGCGCCCTGCACTAAGGAACGTGTTTGAAATCAGCCCTTTGATTCCTGCGAAACCCCAGTGGTTTGCAACATCATTGAGCATTCAGGAATGAAGGGTTTAAACCAGGCGTTGCTCCTGGGATTTACACTTTTGCTGCTGGGAGACAGATAAAACACAAACTCTTCCATTTCCCTCTTCCTCCCTGAGCTGCTGAAGATGCTAACAGCTCCTGTGGCTCATCAGGCACTTCGTTCCTGTGGCATCGCTCCGAAATTAGACTTTGCTGAAGCCAAAGTGGGCAGCAGCCATCAGACAGAACCCAGGATCGTCTCCAGGATGAGTCAGCACAAAGGAAAGGATGCGGGGAGGGAGAGGAGGGAGCTGATGGAAAGGGAATTCAAACTGCCCTGTGGCTGAGAGCCTGGGGAGGACAACGCCAGCTCCTGCAGATGGGGTCTGCAGTAAACCCCTCTGCCGCCAGTGCACTGGTGGTGAGAAGGGGCTGTCAAAACTGGTGAGTGAGCTCAGAAGAGGAGGAAGACAAGGAAGATGAAATGAACACAAACCCTTGTTTACATGCTGCTATCACTTTTCTTTTTAACCCTGTATTTCCATTGTAATAATGGACAGAATGTGTCTGTATATACACATCTCTAGTGCAGGAGGCACAGCTGTATTGTAGGATTTCGTCTTGCCAAGCATGCCTTGAGGTTCTTCCTCAGGGAGAGGAGGAAGTAACGAAGTGGCCTATATATACATGTATTTATGTATAGGGGATGACCATTTTGGAGACATCAGAAGGGCAGCTCCTGCAGAAGACATATGGACATTTCTGGTTGGAGGGGCAGCCTGAACCAGTCCTATGTGCTCCACACCAGATAAGTGGTGCACAAACTATAGGGTTGATTGGTTATTTGTTTATTCAAATGAGATCCACGATGCTGAGAGCATGTGGGAATGGCTGCTGAGGTACCACCCTCCTGCCAACCATAGATTGATTTTTCCTCTCCCAGTTGGCCAGAGCTTCATGGAAAATGAAATGTGCCATCATTTCGTTTGGCAATGGAAGCATTCCCACTGGGTGCCCTCCGTGCTGGTGGGGACAGCAGACCTGTATTCTCCCTGTAGCACATCACCCCAGGAAAACCTGGGCAGTGGTGCTGATGGGGAAGCAAAGCAACGCTCTCCATTTGGAGATGGGAGGTCAACTCCAACGCGAGAACCGGCAGCGTCGTCCGGGCTGTACAGATTTCATGTGAATATATTTATTGTGCTCTGGTCTACGAGATCCTGTGTTTTTAATGTATTGGTTTGCCAATATTTTAATGCTGTCATGTTGTTTATATATGCTGTATAAAAGAATCTGGTGTTATATTTGTATGTAGAGTGTCTCCCTTTATGGCTGGGCTTAAAATATAGATGCAGTTCCAGTGGCCCATGTATATGACTCAAGATCCCTTGTAAACTGCTTGAGCTGGGAGGAATTTTATGCTGAATCTGGAGGGATACCAGAGCAAACTTTGCAATTAGCACTTCCCTTGAATGATATAGAGGGAGGAAGGAAATCTGGACACTTAAAGCACTTTGCAATGGATGTTTATCCACCAGGAAATCTCACACAACCCCCAAGCATGCGAAGAACAACTGCGCTGCTGGGCTTTGCTTGCAGTGCCATTAGGGAGCAGGAGAGCGTTTGTCAGTGGCTGGCTAAGGAACAGCCACCCTCTCTTTGTGGTTCTTGGGTTTTTAAATAGATTTATGTTCTCTGGAAAAAGAAATATATATACCAGTGTTTGGCAATTTTTTTTAATCCAGATTTTGTTATAATGACTATGCTGCAGCGATCTTACATAAACAAGTACTCAATAAATGTGTGTTTACTAAGCTTTTGGGTAATTCTGTGGCCCTTGCAGTGGATGTGTTTAGGCATTCTGTTCAATGCTCAGTGGAGTTTCTAAATAAGAAGAGCAAGAAAAACTTGAAAGCAAAAGCTTTATTGTACTGTGCCTCTGGAGTTAAAGGCTTGTGATGGGCTGAAGCGCAGGCTCTTTAATTCTCTTCTGAAATGGTTGTGTTGGTATGATTTCACAGTTACCACAGTGTAAATGACAATTTCCTAGGTGGCTACTCGTGTGCTTTAATAAAGGAAAATAAAACCTCTCTACTTTGAATGATGTGGGGTCTGAACTACTTAGCTGCATGCATCAGGGGGTGTCTCAACTGTGGTGCTGCTGGCATCGTAGAATCACAGAGTGGTTTGTGTTGGAAGGGACCTTAAAGCTCATCCAGCTCCAACCCCTGCCACGGGCAGGGACACCTTCCACTAGAGCAGGTTGCTCCAAGCCCCTGTGTCCAACCTGGCCTTGAACACTGCCAGGGATGGGGCAGCCACAGCTTCTCTGGACACCCTGTGCCAGCGCCTCAGCACCCTCACAGGGAAGAATGTCTTCCTAATGTCTTTGCATGTGGGCTTGTTTTTCCAGCTAAACCCACTGCTGGGTGCATGGGATAACACTGAAGCATCCCATCCCTTTTACTGAGGTCAGTGGGAACTTCTGTTGTGCAGGCAACAGGCAGCTCTCACATGGGCAAGGCAGCGATGCCAGCATCTGCCTGCTGTTACAGGTCAAGCCTGATGCAGGATGAAAACAAGCTCTTCCCACATACTCTTCTCACACCTCTGAGGAGTTATGCAGTTAGGCACGATCATGGAAACAGTGAGTTACAGAACTGCTCTGAAAATAAAGCCAAAGCAATATGCTATAGCCAGAAAAGATGGATTAGCCAGTGAGGTGTGTGATAAGGAAAGTGCTGTCTCTCTGCACAGAGATCAATATTCCTACCCGGGTGGGTAAATATCAGGAGAGGATTTTTATTGGCAGTAGTGATCTTGGTTCAAAAGGAAAAAGGAGAAAGAAAATTGGTGAGGAAAAAGAAAAGGAAATCTTTATTTCTCTTCTGGCTCAGTTAATTACAAGTATCCAGGGGTGAGTTCTTACAGCAAAGCCATAAAGCAAAGTGCTTTATTCAGTATTACGGGGTTTATTAATGTACTAAATGTTCTCCCTGCTGCTGCTGGCTGCAGGCAACTGCTGGAAAGGCTGAGGAATGGATGAGCCAGGGGCTGAGCTCTCCCTCGAGTCACTCCTTGGCTCATGGCACTGGTGCACCTGGTCAGATCTCTGGCTTTGGAAGGATGCTTTGCTCTGCTGGTGCTGCATCTCCCTTCCTTCCCATTGCCCAGGCTGTTCAGCCAACAGCCATTCCCCCAGCACAAATCACTGTTTCTAAAAGCAGAAATAAGGTGGAGAATTTACGCCTTCACTGAAGTTTGGATGATTTTATGCCATGGGAAGAACCTACCCTGGGAGGTGCTGAGTTATCCACCACCGAGCTCCAGGTCAGGCTGTGGTTAGTTGGTTTGGGATGTCATTGCTGGGTAGGACAATGTATGCGCAGGGAGGGATGTCTCTCACCCTGCAATGCTTCATAGGAAGGTGGGTGCTCTCCACAGTTGTAGCTTCCTTGTGTAAGTGAAAAGGATCTCCAGAAACACCTGGTGCTGGTGCAGCCTTTGCTGTATGCTTAGAAGAGGGATTCTCAGACCAGCAGCAGAGTGCTTTGCCAGGAAGGCTCCAGCTTGCTTTCCCCCTCGTCTCCCTGTGCTTTCCTTCATCTCTTTCTGTGGATATTTATGCATAAACAAATTTCTCCTTCCTTCAACAGGGAGAACCTCCCTTGGACTCATCCTGAGCCATAGCCTCATTGTGCATTCATGGCTTCACATCTGTTCTGTGGTGGCAGAGCTTCATCACTGTGACTTTGCAGAACCTGCTGGTAATTCACATCCCTGATCTTCACCTCCCGAACCCTGCCTGGGGCTGTGTGAAGGACCAATTCTTGCTCTCTGGCCTTCTCATGTGCTGAGGAGAACCATGAAGCTGTGATGGGAGGGATGGAGGGCAGAATTCCATGGAGGGTAGAGGGAAAGCTGCCTCAGCTTTATGGTGAAAAAGGCTTTTGAGGTGAGTCTTGGTGCTGTGTGAGGAACAGAGATGAACTATGAGGAAGTAGAGCATATGCTGTGTGATGCCAATGGGTGTCCGGCACAGGGTGTTTTTGGGGATGGGGATCTGTAGCCCCTCCTGGCCATGGCACATCTATTTTGAAAGGCCCACAGTGGCTGCATCCATCTCCCCTCTTGCCCATTTAGATTGGGATTACATCCCGCCTTGGCTCCAGCTCATGGTAACAGATGTGTTAAGGTAATAACTCATTTTGAAAGCAGGAGTTTTAGGATTTCTCCAAGCAAAGGGACTGCTTGGAAAAGGATCCACTGGGGGGTGGGTGCACTTCAGGTCAAAAAGCCCCACAGCACACGAACTCTCTTTGTTCCTTTATTCAGTACCCTGAAGCCTGGATAAATTGCATGATAGGGTGAAATAATCAATAAATAGAGCAACATGGTTATGTATCTTGGCAACGATGATGCTAATCAGCCATGTAAACTGACTTTGCTCCCTCTGCCTTAATGCAGTGAAATCCCAGCTGTCTGCAGCATGGGAGTGATGCCGGCGCCCTGCAGAGCCAGGGGCTCAGGCAGCCCTTTCCCACCTCCTGCCTCTCCTCCTGCACCGCAGGTTTCTGCTCCAGCAACCCCAGAACCTCACTGAATGCTCCCTGGGGTAGGGAGTGCACAATAATATCCAGCACCAGCTGGGATCACCTTCACCCCCTGGAGAACATCCCTTATGTTCAGATCCTTTGGTCTTCCTGTGGTTAAGGGCCTCTGGGAATAAACCCCATCGCTCCATGCTGCACATGGCATCAC